GTCTGCCCAGGCGGCGGCGGCTTGGCCGGATCGGCGCGCCAAGGCAGGCGTCGGATCCCTCCCCCTTCCGAGTTTCACAAAGTTGGCGTGAAATTCTTCTCAAGAAGTGTTAGGGTATTTGAACAAAAGTTTCGTGAAGCTGAGAGTTTATTAAGCTTAAAAACAATAAAAAAAATCAAGTGTAGAAAATTTTAAGTCGGTAAAATTTGAGACCTACAAAATTTTAAGTTTGAATTTAAAAAAAAAAAACGCCTTTTTTTTGCATTTTAGCTGTGAGCCGCATACTAGTACTTTATTTGTGATCGGCGTGTAACGCAAGCGGAGCCTCATGCGGTGTGTCACACACTCGGCCGCGCCTGTCGCATTATTGGCCATCCGAAAACATGAAGGCCCGGGGCTGTGATTGTTACTACGTGATGCTTGCCCGGCACGCCTCGCCGTCCTCGCCTACGGCATCGACTCCCCCCGGCACCACTCCCTCCCCCCTCCCCTTTTGCATTGAATGAGCAAATATCGGCGGTGATAACAGTGGAGTGGTCAGTGGGGGTGGGGCTCCAATGACATGCATCGGATCGCGTACAAGTGGCTGGGATGGAGAGAGAGCGGGCCAATCATTGAGCTTTGTCGGACACGCCGATTCGGCCTTTCGTTTTCCCGGGTTTAAAAAAAATGGCGGGAAGCTTTCCCCTGTGATTTTCACGTAAATGAATTCGTTAGAAGCAAAACGTCAGAAACGCGTGGCTGCGGTTTGGAGAATGGAATGTCCCTGGTGGCTGTGGCTCTTTTGAAACTCGATGGCTTGCCGCATGACTCACACACATTCTTAGATCTCTGTGTCTTACTCTACCTGTTTTTCATGTAGTTTGATTCAGCACTAGTCTGTGACCGGCCTTCTCGAGAATGTTTTCGTCATCTCCCTGTTGTTTCTGCAGTGTCTCTCCTGGACAGCATGCATCTTCGATCGGCGGTGTTGTTTTTTTATGTTTCTTTGTTGAAAAATAGACTTAATCTAATATTAACAATAATTCTTTATCGTACTGTCGAGGGGCAAGGTATAACAGGCAGTCTGGTCGTCCTGATAGAGAGAGACAGAGAACTCGGGGCCGGGCCGCGAGGGACCGCGGTGGGTCCGGCAGTGGTCCTTCGTTTGGTCAGCAGTAAACGTCTTTCGGTCAACCTCCGTCCGACCTAGCCTCGCCGCGGGGCCTTCGTCCACCTTGTTTATGGGCAGTGGTAGCCCGGAATAAATTCCGCGAGTCACAAGAGTGGTCTCACGATGTCGTGGAGTAATAAAGCCAAAAGTCACCCCATGTTCAGCTCAGAAAAATTGACGACGACCACAAACCAGTCATTCTGTGTCACTGGATTATTCAAAAGGCGTTGCACAACAGTTTGCAAGATCTGAGGGTCTCCTCTGCGGTCGCGCCACGCGGGTACCGACTGGTCTGGTCCGAGATCTCTCTCTTGATCTGTGTGTGTGTGTGTGTCAGTTGCCGAGGTGGCCGGGGCGCCCTCGACGGGACGAAAAAAGCACCCGGACTCGACATGGGGCCCTGCGCCAGGAGCCCTGCTGAAGGGCCCCGCGGTGCCCCACGACCAGCCCCAGGGAGGGCCCAGGGCGGCAAGGGCCCGGCAAGGGCCCACCAAGGGCCCCGCGAACGACGGGGCCGCCCCGAACCACACCGTAAGCAGACGGCCCACACACATCCATCTAGCACTCCTAGAACGGACTTAGGACAGCCCCGATAGGCCTAGGCCGCCGTCCTGCCGCATGCGTGGACACTTTTGTTTCCTTTCTTTACTTTTCGCTTGGAAAGTTGATGGCGGAATGTGTGAACGCAGTGCAGAGGTCCAGATAAAAATGAAACACGTCACACATTTTGATTCTTTTTTGTTTTAAATTCACTCCTTTATTCCTTTACTTACTCGCTTGACTCTCTAGGTGGGAAACGGCAGTGTGCTTTGCTTCAGAATGTCGTAAAATTTCAAACTGCATGCGGAAATTTCCCGGACAATTGATCATTTCGTTCTGCCCGCTAGGACGGGAGCCTCTCTTTTACAGTGTTGGTGACTAGGAGAAGCTTGTCTCTGTGTTGGTGGCAGCATGGCATGCCGGCCCTGTAAGATAGAACGGGCTCGTGGCGGGAATTTTTTTTTCTTTGAAATGACTGTAGTAGAGCTTCCTTCCTTCATGTTTCTGTTCGAGGCATTATACCGTTGCTTCCAGACTTTTCCAGACTGACTGTCCTCCCTGCATGTGGCCGTGGATGTATGTCTCTTAGCCGTAGCTGTGTTGCTTTCTCGTAGTTTCCGCAGTGTCCGACGTGTTCTTGTTGTCTGTAGTGACTGCACCCACGGTAAGTTTTCTGGTCACTCTAGGCGGTTCACGACACCCGGCTGCGAAGGGCGGCGCTTCAAAATCAATTTGAGATGCGTTTCGGCTCCGAATTTATACGCGAGCGGGTTGGAGCGACAGCGCACTGTACGAAGTCCACGGCCCGAGTTTCGCCAACTCCGGAACGGGAAAGGTGGGGTCATCTCGCTTCGAACGGCCCGCGGTGACAAATCGGGGACGGGGTTGGCGCGCAGCGCCGCACAGTGGATTTGCCAAAAGACTGGTGGAGGCGGCCAAAATTGTAGACGCGTTTTGAGCTCCAGAGTCGCTAAACAGGACTCGAATCGAGCTTGTGACCCCATCAATGGATTCCTCGATCGGAGAGCAATCCATTGGTGGGGTCACATGTTCGGTTCGAGTCCCATTTAGCGACTCCAGAGCTCAAAACGCGTCTTTGGCCGCCGCCACCGGTCCTCTAGCCCACTGTACGCCGTCAGACCGTTACAACACACCTCACGTCCAACTCGAATACGGATTCTTTCTTATTGCGCGAGAGTGGAGGAGCCAGGGCCTGGCAGGGCCTGGCAGGCCGGTCGGGGATGGGGCGGCCAAAGTTACAGCATTATCGGAGGGCTGCGCTGCGCAAGTTTTGTCCAACGGTACCGCAGCGGATATGTGTACTTGCTCGTAGGGAAAGTCAACAGTGATCAAGCGAACCCTTTTCTATTCCTTGCGCGTGTGTGTGTGAGTGTGTGATGTGTCGATGTGTGAGTGTGCGAGAGGGCCCGCCCGTCGTCGGACTGTCTGAGTGCCGCCCGTTCCTCCAGCACCCATCGCCAAGGAAACTACACCACAGAAAGGAATGCTGTGTACACTGCAGTTGCCAAATGCCAGAGAGAGAGAGAGAGAGAGAGAGAGAGAGAGAGAGAGAGAGAGAGAGAGAGAGAGAGAGAGAGAGAGAGAAGCAACCCCTTTGGCTTTGGTTCTTTCCCTCTGCAGACGCAGGAAAAAATGGTTCTTACCTGTTTAGCTTATAGAGTGTCCCTGTCCGTCTGCGCGGCACATTCACCCCGTGCGTGTGTGGTGTGTGTGTGTGTGTGTGTGTGTGTGGTGTGTGTGTGTGTGTGAGAGAGAGAGAGTGAGTGCGAGTGCGAGTGCGCGCAAAGACGCGTTCCCGTGGGCAAGTCTCTATACATGGATTGTTTGTACACATGCACAAGCTGGGACAACCATAAAAACAGAAAAGAGTATTCATATTTTTTCCCTTTTTTCACGCTTGGTAAACTAATACTGTATTCGTGAGAATGAAAGAGCCGCTTGGCAGTGCAGTCGCTCCTACTCGATACCACCAACTGTTGCGACGGAGCGATAACTGTCACACAGTGCCGCGGGCGTGCCTACACCGGTAGAGATGTCCCCGCCCAGATTGGAGGCACCCAGCGAGGCCCACTCAAAAGTGGCGATCGGTCCAGCTCAAATTCGAGGGCTAGTCAGCAAGCCGATGCGTTTCGCTGAACGGCGGAGGAGGCAGGCTTTCGCTCGCTCACGCCCCTCGCCGCGCCACCCTTCATCACTCCACCGGGAGTGCCTGCTCGTTTCCCGTTGGAGCACACTGTAGTGCAGCGCGGAATGTATGGGGAACGTCGTTTTCTGCAACTTTTTCTGCTTCGGGAAAGCGCGAAGTTTATCCCGGGGGATCGTGGTGGTGGTGGTGGTGGTGGTGGTGGTGGTGGTGGTGGTGGTGGTGGTGGTGGTGGTGGTGGTGGTGGTGGTGGTGATTCCGCGATAGTCTGTCCTTCATTCAACAAGCGGGGGCGGGGCGGGGCGTGGGCGTCGGCCGGGCGTGTGCCGCAGTGCGACAGGGAAGCTCACATCGCCAACTGGACACTCAACTTGCCGAGGCCTTCCGCGACGTAAAGCAGTCCAGCCCCGTGCGAGTGAGAGGCCTCTACCAGTGGGGCCCCGCCAGAGAGGCCTCTACCAGTGGGGCCCCGCCAGAGAGGCCTCTACCAGTGGGGCCCCGCCAGAGAGGCCTCTACCAGTGGGGCCTCGTTGGAAAGGCCTCGCCAGAGGCACAGCGCGGCGCCCCGGCCACAGCCAACGCCCACAGCACGACCATGCGCGCCTCCCCGTGAAATAGCCAGCAAAAATGAGCGTCTACAAGACCACCATCCCGTGAAGCATCTTGGCCGAGGCTCCCCCCACCCACCCCACCGCGCGGCTGCCCCGCCCCGCCCCGCCCTGCATACCGTAGATAGTTTGTCAAAATGGGTGCTGTTATAGAGGCGGGGTGGGGTGGGGGCGTCGCAAAATAAGAAGCACATAGCAAACTGTAATGGAGTGCTTGCAGTATCGGCCCTATTCAACGTGGGGTGGGGCTTGTCCTTGGCAGAGGCCGTGCCGTGCCGAGCCGTGCCGAGCCGTGCCCCGGCTACCCGCCCCGCTCCGGTTCCGATGCGGTCGGGGTCATCAAAATGGAGGCACTTGATTGGTGGAGACTGGCCGGGCCGCCTGGCTCTGTTTGGCGGGCCTCCAGGCCCATGGCCGCCACGCCACGCCATGGCCGCCCATGGCACGCCACTGTCAGAGAGCGCTCCGTTTTGCAGCGGCCGCTTCGCGAACCGTTGGTGTCGTCTGCTGGGATTCGCGCCGGTAGCGTTTGAGGCAACCGCGAGCGATTGCGAAGGGAAGGGCCTCGGGCTGGAACGAGTGTCGGCTGGCAGTGGGGCAGCGCGACAAGGCCGTGGGGAGTCCCGCGGAGACGACGCGGAGAGCGAAGGGGGTACCTTGGCTTCGCGGCTTCGCCTTGGCAGCCCCCGGGTCGCGGAAGGCTGCGTGCGGGGACGCGGGCTGCGACGCACAGTGGGCCAGAAGGCCGGCGCAGGCGGCCGAAACCGCTGACGCGTTTTGAGGCCCAAAGTCGCTAAATAGGACTCGAACCGAACGTGTGACCCCACCAATGGATTCCTCGTTCGGAGAGCAAGCCGTTGATGGGGTCACACGTTCGGTTCGAGTCCCATTTAGCGACTCTGGAGCTCGAAACGCTTCTGGGGTTTCGGCCGCCTGCGCCGGTCTTCTGGCCCACTGTGCGCTGCGCCCTGGCAGCCAGACTCCAGCGCTAGATCCCGACACCATCTGACACAGTATGGGCGCGGCGCGGCGCGGCCGCCCCAGGACCCTTGCCAAAGCCTTGAGGGGCCGCTACTGCTGGGTGCAGGACTGCGGGCTGACTCCGCACAGCGCGCTCTCGCTGTCTCTGTCGCACTCACGGGGCGAGCCGCGTCGGTGCGAGAGAGACAGCGAGGAATCAGTCTGCTGGGCACCAAAGGCAGCCCAAGGCGCCACTGGGTCATGGCGGGGAGCGATACACGCGGTGACGCGCGGGCCGTCCGGAAACTCTTTTACATCCCTGGTCGTCATGGCAACCGGACTCCGCCGCGGGGACTCCTTGGTGCGTACGAGGAAAAATACGCAGCGGCGAGTATTCGAATCCGCGTCCTTCAGGCGCGCCGCATGGAACCGGATTCGGGGCGGTTTATACAAGTTTGGAAGCTGTGACCTCCACCTCCGCCGATGAGTGACCTTGAAAACTTGCCAAAGGTTATCCCCTCTCTCTGTTCTTTCTCTGTCTCTCTGGCGCGCGCCTCCTCCAGTTAGTTTTTCTTTCAGGTACCAACGTCGAGCGCGAACACGCGTTACTGGCCGTTGCATGCCTGTCAGCTTCATGCATCATGATGATGCATATTTTGTTTATTTTTTCGTCCCATTCTGTGCCGCGCAATTTTTTTTTCTCGTTTAGTTGCTTTTGTCTGTGTTCTTCTTTTCACCTCGAAACTGTGTTTATGTCTCCCCAGTGTGTGATGAATGGATTTTGAGTTGACGGAAAGGCTGTCTGCCTGAGGGGAGGATGGTTCTGAGTAATAGGAGTTGACATAAAATATAATTCACGAGTGAATAGCCTGAAATGTTTCATAAAACCGGTGACGGAAGTGCTCAAGTCTTTCTGCCGTTAATGATGTGTGCGTTTTCTTTTTTCGCAGAGCATCCCATTCCTCGCCACGAGCCCCGGGAAGGACCGAGTAGTGCTGGTGTACAGCGACAAGATAGAAGTTAGAGCTAAGGTAAGGCGGATCTGGAGATAAGTGCTAAGATGCATCAATGCCACGGCGGTTCCATTAGTCCGCTGAACCCCGGCAGTCGAGGGGATGGGTGGCGAACTGGGGGTGGGTTGTTAAATTAGTGGCCTATCCCCCAGGTGCTTCAGGGGGTGGGTTGTAAAATGGGTTGCCTACGCTGAAGGCGCTTCAAGAGGTTGGTAGTCAAATGGGTTGCCTACGTTGCAGGCGCTCCAAGGGGGTTGGAAGTCAAATGGGTTGCCTACGCTGCAGGCGCTTCAAGGGGTTGTTGTCAAATGGGCTGCCTACACTACAGGCGCTTCAGAGGGTTTGTTGTCCAATAGGCTGCCTACACTACAGGCGCTTCAGAGGGTTTGTTGTCCAATGGGCTGCCTACACTACAGGCGCTTCTGAGGGCATGTTGTCAAATGAGTTGCCTTCACTACAGGCGCTTCAGGGGTTGGCTGTAAAATGGGTTGCCTACGCCGCAGGCGCTTCGCGAAGGGTTAGCCACTGAGCCTTCTCGGCCTGCCCCATCATCCCCAGCGCAATAAGATCCACGCGTCGTTGCAAACAAACGTGATGTAATCACGGGGGCACCCTGCCGGCCCTGCGGAGCGACGGAGAGTCTCACCGTCATGCCCTGCAGTGTGACGGAGACCGCGATGGCACCTCCTTTCCGCGAGCTCGTTAGGCGGAAGATCAACTTCAGTGCTGTTTCACTGTTTCACCCCGGAAAAGCATCAATCATTTTCAGCGTGTCGGTGAGGGGGGGGGGGATTAGCCCGGCACAACAGTGTGACTCTGGAGAGCCGCTTGGAGTTCTCGTACCGCCACGGCGCACCACCGAAAGCATTTCGAGTCACGCCTGATAACGCTTTTAGGGGATCTGCAGTCATGCAGCAGTCATGCTGACTTGGTGTGTACTCAAGGGCCTTGTAAGAACCAGCCCACACATAATGGCCCTTTATATATGCCTGCGTCTATAAAAAGATAATGTGGTATACATTTCCGTAGACTTTTTCAGCGTGTAACCGTTCAAGCAGGAGTTCTCAAAAGAGAAACAGCCATTGGTGGTGGCAGAGAAAGATGAAAAGGCTCCAGCGTACTCGCAGCGCCAGAACCGTCTCCGGCTTGTGTTCGAATACCACGTGGGCGGGGTTGCATCGACGCGCAGCCCAGGGGGAACAGGTAGTCAAAATGGCGTGGACATGATGTGAAAATGAACCAAAGTCCTCCCAAATTGCCACGTCATCTGGAATACCCTTTCCCCCGGGTGCTTGCCGCACTGATCCAGAGACTCGTTTTTGTCACTCTGTCTCTCTCGCACCCACGCGGGACGCCCTGTGAGTGCGAGAGAGACTGCCCGAATGCCGCACTAACCGCCGCTTGTCCGCAGCACCCCGCCATCGAGCCGGCCCACGAGGAGGAGCTGGCGGACTCGGCGCTGCGGCTGCAGACGGCGCGCTCCCCGCTGGGCAGCGAGCCCCTCACGTCGCGGGCCTCGCTCAACGCACTGCACCAGCACGCCACCATCAACTCGTCCGGGTCCGCGTCGGTCGTCGTCAACCTGCCGTCGTCGTACGACGCGGCCTCGGAGCTGGACCAGCAGCCGCAGTCGCCGCCGGGCCAGGGCATGCACGCGGGCCCGTCCGGCGACCAGCGCGACCAGCACCAAGTGCGCATCTCCTCCTTATGAGGCGAGGGTGGGCACGAGGCGCCTGAGGAGGCGCAGGGGGCGCCCCAGGAGGGGACGCCCCAGGGGGGGACGCCCCAGGAGGGGACGCCCCAGCCGGTGCGTACCGTGCGCTGTCGCATGGTGGCCGGCACCTCGCCCCTCCGCAGCCCCCTGGCCCGCGGGGCGCGGCCCAGAGCCCCCGCAGGACCGCCCGCCGCGACGCGCTGACCACCAACAAGGAGAACGTAGTACTGGCCAGCTCGCCGCCGTCGACCCCCGTAGTCGGCCCCTGCCCCCTCTCTCTCGCACACCACTCGCTGTCGTGCTAGCGTGCCTCACTCCTCCGTCTCAAAACCCCCACTCCGAAAATGCCGCCACAAACAGTGCGTGAAGTAAACCCGCGGAGATCTGTCCTTCCAGTTCCTTGTCCCACTGCCTCCCAGTCCCTCCCGACTGGCTGCCACTGTGTTGGCTCGTCCCTTTGGCTCACGCGGAGGCTCGCCACGGCACGCCACGGCTCGTCAGATGGCTTCGAGAACGGGTGTCGCAGATTTTGGTTGGACCTATGGACTGCCAGCTCGAGATGCACGTTTCTTGTTTTAGACTTTTCTAGTGCGTTTGGCGCGCGGCGCTCCTGAGTCGAAGGCTTAGTTGTGATCGTGCATCTTCTAATGTTTAAGAACCATTCTTGACAAACTGATTTTTTAAAAACCAAAATCTCGCCCTTTCTTACTTTTTACTCTCTGTGATTTTAATAACTCTTGGTTGTAGACGAATTTTCTTCTTGTTATTGTTATTAGAGTGAATATTTTATGTCATGTAAATATTGTCCTTGTAAAGGAAATTCGTCCTTGCAAAGTGCTCTACTGAAATGGTGTGCCCAGTCTGCGGTGGCGGTCATGGCAATAATGAAAAGTGCAGGCAGGTGGAGAAAGGCTTTTGCTTAGCGCAGCCCGAGACCGTTGTATTATGTTGTAAGTTAGCCGTTTGACCCTTTGCGAAGAGAGTTTCGTAGATTGAGAAGTAGGTAAAGCTAGGATAGAGAACGGCTCGAGAGGCGCGACCGTGGAAAGCTGGCCGTCTGCGCGTTCCTCAATACGCTTCTATCCCTTCCACAAGTCTTCCATTTCGTACTGCCATCTTTGGACGCGGTACCAGCATTGCCGCCGCCACAGACTAGGCATAGCGTTAGGGGCCATCTGTCGAATGGATGTGTGTGTTTGTGCAGAGAGGGGGTCGGGGTTTTCATTCTCCAGTGGACTGTTTGGACAGCGACTCTGCTCGAGTCCAGCTGGAGTCAAGTGCACCGAAACGGCCTCTTTGGTGGGATGTCGCCACATATCAGTTTGGCAGTGGTAAAATCAAGACTCGGTCTAGTGAAGTGTTTCATGTGATAGTGTGAATTTCTCCTCTCAGCGTCTCGGGCTCGGGAAGCCCAGTGCCCAGTGCCCTCACCCTCACCTCTTCTTCTTCTTCCTCGTGCCTCTCTTGCCGGGGGTGGTCTCGGACGTTTTCATGCAAAGAACCCCCGTGAGACTGGACTTGGTCGCCGATAGGGCAGCAAACATTTTATCTCTTTTTTTTCCCCTAAAAAAGTCTTTTTACTCAGAAAAGAGGGATAGTGTATCTGAAAAGATTAGATTATTAATTGTGAATTGCATGGTTCCTTTTTTCGACTATATCTTTATTCCCCTGTTGTAGAACAGTTTTTACCCTACCAACCAAACGGTTAGAAACCGAAGCAAAGCACATTTAGTGTTGCTTCCCGAGAACTAAGAGACGAGTTGTTGTCTATGAACATTTAACAGTGGTGAACCAATTAAGCTACTGAATGGCCTAGGATACCAAATTGTAGGCTGCCAACCTGATCCCTTAAGGGCTCATTTAGGCCATTACTATGCGCCAGGGACGATCGAGTCGCGTTCAATGTGCAAGTTCACAAACGTTTAAATGTTCATGTTCATTCCAATTCAACCAACAAGTGTTTTATAAACCTGTTTTATCATATTTTTCAATGTCATAATTACTAACCTGTTTTATTTTAATTTAATTAAATTTCACACAAATGTGATAACAATGATTGATGAACGAACTGCAGCAGTGCATGAGTTTGCAAAAGGCGCATTTATGTTCCTCACTGTGCTGATTTTCATAGCATTTTTTGTCAATTTTCATTTCTCATTGTTATTTACAAACTTATTGTTTAAAAAGAGTTTCATTACCTTGCCCTTCGTCAATTCAAAAGCCAAATCCCTAGTGAGAATATAAGCCAAAATTGACATTCCGCCAAATCAAAAATTCGCTTGTGTGGTTTTTTTCTTCTTACATTTGTGTTCTGGCTTCTGAGGCAGAGCAATAATTTTTCTTAACACATTGTTTTGTCAGAGCAATATAAAGTTGTTTTTAAGTCATGCTCTGTACACACAATGCACTAGTGTTGAACAGGAGTGCTCTCTTGCAGCTCTGACGGCATGTGTTACTTTTCGTTCAAGCCAACTAGGTGCTTTTTTCGGTCTTACGTTTATGAAACTCAGAGCTCACCCAAAACTAATTAAATGTGATGAGTGCACGAAGAAGTATATTTTCCTGACTAAGGTCGTACTTAACAACAATCATTTTGTAAAATTTCACAAGCTTTGGCACTTACAAGTGCTGGGCTGTTTTATACTGTTGTTATTATCGTTAACGTCTTTTTTAAAAGAAAAGGGCGGTACATAACTTTTGTTGTATGTTGCTAAGATGTGATACACTTTACGAATCTCAGTCTTCGAAACTGCAATTTACTGTGGCCGCTTGCGTAGGTTGTCAACCTTTGCATTGAGAGCAAGAACACCACAAGAGCACGGTCCGCCAGTGCATGGCATTGTCTTAGAATTCCTCTTGACCAAACCTTCTTGCATAAATACTGTTGTTGGAATTGAAATGTACATTTTTCCAACTTGGCTATTGCAGTCCGAATTTACCCGTTGAGCAGGGCGATCACGTTGAGCAAGCTGAACTGGACGAATAACACGGACTACTGAGTGGATTTCTTCGCTTTCACGAATTTTGTACCTCCTGTAGTCTTTAATTGTGATATTATTTTAGCTTTAAAACTTTCGTGAGCGAAGATGATGATGATTGTGTATTTAGAAGGTTGATAATTACTGGTAGGGCGTAACTTAATGCAGTTAAGTTTGTACATAGTATTTTGATGTGACCTCTGGCTCTGATGGATGTAATCAAGTAAATACGATTATACATGTTGTAAGATAGTTTCTGCCCACGAGATTTTTACAATGTTCTGCATGGTTTACGGGTACTGCAAGGAAAGGTGGGTGGTACCAACTTTAAATATTGTTGTCCCTTTTGTGTGTTTCTAGTTTCTTTTCATCAAATTACAATGACTGCCGTTCTCTTACCTTTTCGTCAGATTGCCCGATTTCAAAGAATAAATGATGGCCTGATGCTGCAATTGTCAGAACATGAAACTGTTTTCAAAATTTGATGTGGCAAATTTATGCTCAAATATTTCTTTTTCGAAAAAGGCCGTTATGGTATCGCGGATAGAAGTGAACCTTCTTACTTTCGCCATTGTGCGGCCAACTTTGTATTTTAGCCTGTTTGATTTTTTTGGACAGATTTATCACATTTTTAAGTTTGTTTCTGTTCATGCCGACTTGTTTTTTCTTTAAAATGTCCCTTTCCACTTGTGGTTACGTAGCGCGTTCACTGCAAAAATCCCTGAAAATTGAAAAAAAAATCAATTTAGTATGATTCAGTGTTCCGTCCAGCCTCTCCACGTGGAGGCACCTTGACAGCGTGCCATGCGTAGACAAGCTGGCAGGCGACACGGAAATGGAAGGGGAAATCTAAGAGGGGTGTCCAAGACAGAATGACAAAGGCTACTGGGACTACGTGGCGAACATTAGGGACCCCGTTTCAATCATTTTCGTGTTTAGTTGTGCGTCGGAGTAGCTGAAAGGAAGCTGAAGGTCTCATCCCCATCTTAAGTAGGAGAGTTCGAAAGTTTGTGATTAGGTATTTCGTGTATTCTCTTTATATTAAAAAGTCTTTTTAATTAGTCTATTTAGTACACCGTTCCTCATTGCAATTCTCCTCTTGTAGGAAAGTGGTAGACATGGGACCCTGACGAATTCGCTTAATCATACGATGGCCTATGTTGAGATGCCTCGAAATCTCATTTAAAGAGCCCTTTAAAATTTCCTGTGCTGAGAAGTTTTCTGACCTAAAAGCCGTTCCACTAAAAAAAAAACTATAAAGTGAACAATCCGGGCGCACCAATACTTTCAAAATGCTACCTTTTGGAAGCGCGTTTGTTGTGATACTTGTAAGGAAGTGAGCGGTGTCTGCCCCAGCCTACAGCGTACCTTGTATTGTCCCTCACGGCTGCCAAATAAAAAACCGTAAAGGATCCTCCAAAATTTGTAAATTTACGTATTTCCTTATCTGTCGGCAATTTCTCTATTTTCTCTGACTTTTGATTCACTTTTAATCTGATAATTTTGTCCCAACTGCGATACCAATGAATATTTATTTGTTTTATTTTTAAAAAATTGTTTGCTTTGATGTTTTGCGACTGATTATGAGTGGCACTGGAAGAAACAAATTGATAAAAAGGTACGATACGTTGCTTGTTGCTTGCTGCTAGTTGAAATTTGGAAGATTGAATCTTTACAAATATTCTCATAGGGTTCAGTCTAAATGATATCTCTCCATTCCTCTTATTGTGCCTTGCACACTGTGGCTGATAAGTTCTGGGCGCCGTTTATGCGAACAATTTGATCACTTGGGCAATATCAGAAAACAGCTTATAGTGTTTCATCAATCGAATACTTCAATTTGTATATGTGTATAATGTATAGTCTTTAGTGTCTGACCACATGGAAAAGTTCCTGGAACACAGAAAAACCTAACTTTTCATATGTCATAGCTTTCTAAACATTCCAACCATTCGTGTGTATATCCGTGTCTGTTTTATGTGCAAAATTATGACGTGCAAGTAATGTTGAACTCTCTGGTACTTGGGGTATTGTTCTATTTCAAATGTCTCCTTAGACTTAGATTAAGTCCTTGGGACTGAATTTTTTTAAGTGCAATTTTTTTCCTGTTGTGCTCTAATAAACGCCGTACCGACACAGTCGATACTTGTTACTGAACCGTTGCAAGAGCAATGCATTTCAGGGTATTACTCAAACGCCGTGCGACTACGATTACAGATGCACCATCTGAGCAATACATTTCGTGCTAAGTTTTTCTCAAAATAGTGTCCATAAATATCTAGAATTTTGTCTTGCAATGGGTCAGTGACATTTTGCTACGGAGGTTCTCCTTCTGATTAGTCATTCACTTTGTGTGTGTAATTCAGTCGCTACTCTCTACTCAACAGTGTTTTAGTAACTTGTGGGTGCATTGTTTAAGAATTGAGTTCCAAGGGGTGGTCCACAATTGAAACACGGGTTCAGCTACTGAAGGTGGCCTTTGTTTGGGTAGCGCTAAGTGCTCGGATGGTTGGCGTAGGACGCGGCACAGTAGAAGATGAAAGCTGTAAGAAAGGCCTAAAATTCCCGTGAATACTGTTTGGATGGCCCCGTATCCTGTGGTCGCGCCGAAAGGGCAATATGTTTGTAGATAGAAGTGAATCTTCTCGTCCATGTTCTATAGTTTAGGGCTGTATCAATTTACTCTTGTGATTTCTCGTTGTTAAAATGTGAAATCATAAGTTAGTTGTGGGCGGGGTGAGTGTTGATGAGGCTTCAACTGCGAGATACCGCGGGGTAATGCACACAACGATCCCACCGTCATGTTTAATACTCGTGTGTCCCCTCCGAATCATTCATCACATATCGTCCTAAAACTCACTCAAATGTCGCCAACTCACTTCGTGTGGTCGTTCTAAGTTGGTACCAGAATGAAAAGCGGCTTTCGTCAGCTTCTCTCTGATTTTATAAGCTGTTCCACTAGGAAATCGTTCATCCTTGAAACCACGTTGATCAGCGCGATGCACACTCCAGAAATACTGTCGGAAAGCCATTGCCGACACGCCAGTCCAGTCTGAACAAAATCACTTTAAAAACACGTGTCTTCAGGAAACGGATGTAACAGGAGAGTTTTGGTTTTCGTGTATCTGCTTAAGGGCACTCACCTTAACCACTCACCCAGCTCAACTATCTACTCTGATTGCTCGTATTGTCTTTGAATTGGAATGCTGGTGTGCGTGGGGTCCTTTTACTTCATTGAATTAAAACAAAAAAAAAAGAAAACCTTCGATGGCCGTGGGATTTTGATGAGTTTCGCCATGTTTTATAATTTACATGTCTTCATCTAGCGTTATTTTTCAATTACGTAAAAATGTGTTTGACTGTTACCATCATACATTTTCTAAGAAATTATTGTAATTTTACTGGAAACTGTTACTATTATAGTTATAACTTTCATGAAAATAAAACACATGAAAGGATGAGAGTATTTTAATGGCAAACCAACACCATCCACAATGTAGTCAATGAGAACAAACCAAGAAGAAAAATCGACCAGATGAAAAGAGTTTTTAACGGGTCTCCGTGTTGTCGGGTATAAAAAGTAACAAGGCTGGAACAATCCTGCTGCTGCTCGCTAGCTCGGATGTCGTCTAAAACAACCCCGCGCGGGGTATTGCCGGCACTCCGGCACACACGGAGTATGGCCGGGTGGACGGGCTCGGGGTAGTGGCGCTGGGCGCGCGGGGTAGTCCCGAGGGGTGGTCCCGCGCCACTCCGCGCTCGCACCGTCACTTCCCCAGATTTACTGACGGCCGCGCCACCGCGTAACTCACCACGCAATTCACACCCATAGCGTTGACAATTTCGACATTTCTCCAAAATTGACTCGGTTCCGGAAATACTCTTCTTCTCCACGACGACTGCGGGGATGTGTGAAAAAAATAGGCGGGTGTCATATTTTTGTGTCTATCCACCCATCTATCTTCCTTCTCTGCTTGAGGTTTTCTTTCGAGCGCTCGCTGAAGCGGCTAAGAAAACAAAGACGGGAAGAAGGCCCACCCCCGTGCCCACCGCCCGCCGCCCGCCCCTTCCAGCCATCCAGGGCGTAGCAGGCGTAGCACGCAATAAACAAGGATAGACTGACGGACAGGAAGACGCGCACACAAGGCGAGCCTTCTTCCATCTCTGTGCTTAATCAGGTCGTATCAACGGCACACACACACGCACACACGCCCGCGTGCGTTTCCTTCTCTCTCGGACAACACACACACACACACACACACACACACACACACACACACACACACACACACACGGTCGCGCGGGGCGGACAGAGATCCGCGAAAGCGAGTTAGTGTCAACAGCGAAGGGAAGAGGGTGCGATGAGACGTTAGCCGCTGCACTGCAAACTCGAAAGCAGCGTGCGCCATTTTTCGAGGAGTGCTTCGCGCGGGGACGAAGACTCCCTCCGCGTGGCCGCGCCGCGTCCGTCTTGGCTCGCCCGCAGGCCAGAGCGCTGATTGGCTGATTCCCGGGGAGAGGCTGATTTGATTGGTTCAGGCAAAAAGGGGTGCCGGTGCCGTCACGTGCACGGAGTGACCGGTCGGGCTGAGGCTGGCGCGTCGCCATGGCGACCGCGGAACCGGAAAGGAAGATTGAGGCAAGTCAAGGCAGCAGACTGAGAGTCGTTTTAGTCGCTCTGTCTCCCTCGCACTCAAGGGGCATCCCGTATGGGTGCGAGCGAGACAGCGCGACGGAAACAACCCTCGGAATCAGTACCGCAGGCACCGCACGGGTCTTGCCTGACTGCGTTGGCGCCAAATTTTTACTCCCGTTTTCCTTGTTTTCCTCCGCCGTCGGCAGAAAACTATCGGAGAGTGGGAATCGGACGGAGGGCGCCGGGGCCTTGGCCGCGCCTTTTTAATTATAACTTTGACGATTTCTCTAGAAAAGTATAGTCTTGTGTGTTTGAGGAGAAGGGGCTGGAAGGCTGGAAGGAGCGAAGGGGAGGAAAGGCTGTCAGACACATGTACGCTGGTTGGCAGGCACCTATTGTAGACAGCGAGACAATCGGCGCAAGTGAAGAAAGACAGACACTGGGACACACACACAGACACAGGCACACACAGACACACACACTGCAGGCGGGGCTGGCTCGGCGCGCAAGCGCCCTGCGAAAAACAAGAGAGAGCCGAAGAAGGGCGTGAGGACGGCGAAGCGGCGAAGGGGCATAGAGACTCATACATCGGTCTTCTTCATATTCTCTTTCGTGCTGTTCCTTCGATATTTTCTTTTCGGCCCTCCATTCCAGAAAGTTTGAACTCTCGCACACTCGGCCGCAACACGCACGCCTCGCGCTGCCTCGCGCACGCCCCCATCTCAGGCCGTCTCGCTCGCTCCCGCTCGCTCCGGGCAATACTCTCCATCCATCTCTGTCTGGGGTGGGGGGTGGCGCGCGCATGCGCACCGCCTTGTGTACGAGTGCGAGTGAAAGCGAGCCCGGTGCGAGAGAGAAAGTGATACGAAAGACATGAAGGAGAAAGAGAATGATGGAGGTGGGAAGAGGGAGGGAGAGAGAGAGAAATGGCATTGCGGCACCAGGCGTTGGATTTGTTGGTTTATTCTTACTATCAATATTTCGAAGGAAGGAACGGCCCCGACTCACATGAGGAAGAGGGGAGGGGAGGGTTTGGCCGAGGGGGTGGGCCGGGCCCGCCGGGCCGCCTTGTGTGTGCCTCACAACACGCTATAAGGATTTCTATGCCTCGCCCGAACCGCGGCCCTCGCCCCCCCTAGTTTAGACTTCACATGGATCACAAACATTTTCGTGGAGAACGTCGGCTCTGGAAAGAAATCTAATCAGAGAGAATGATAAATATACATGTTTTGAATTCGTGTTTCTTCATCTGCTTTGTTTTCTTTTAAAAATTTGATAAACCCATTTTTTTTTTTTGAGGAAAATAACCAACACAGGCACATGTTATTTGATTTAGGAACTTTAATTGATTCCTCACTTACGAGATGTCATTACAAGTCAACTTTGGCTCGGAATGGGATACTTTGTCAGCTATTTCTAGCTCTGTTTTCACATACAAATTACAGAAATAAGATGCACAGCAGTGAGCCAGAGATTTTTAAAAAATCGATCAACGATGTCCACAATTTTTTACTCTCACAATAATTGATCTAATGCAACATAGCGAAACTCTGTATTCAGTACAAAGATACGGTCATTGCATCCCCTTGCTCTTAAAGCTTTAAGCACAGCGAATTTCATAAATTGTTTACAGTGCAGTTTGACGGCGAGGGTTTTATACAAAAATATGTTGACGATTTCAAAGCTATGAGGATGCAAGTGACAGCTGCGATGGAAGAAGGTACTTTAGGGCCGATCCCTACTTTCCTGTATATTTGAATGTTATAAAGTCAATTTGTTTTCCGTTCTTTTCAGAACCGAAAAACAATCACTTATTTTAAAGGTTTTGGACAGTGCAAAGATGCGATTCGGTTCCCTGTCAAAACCCGCGTATTAGCGGTATACATTAAATAAATGGTGACTAGACGCATGTACGGAGACTAGAACTGAACATAAATGCTTTCGCAGACTAGAATAAAGATGACTTTGCAAGTGCGTTTTGCGCTGATTAAAAATGACTATCTGTAAACTGACTAGAGTGGTTTGACACCGGAATCAAATCGCATCTTCAAAATTAACACAAATGGCCCGGGATGTGCACATATCAGACCCAAAATACACACACAAAATAAAAATCCCGCACAAATAAACCAGACTAGAAAGTCGAACAATAAAAAACAAAACCTCCCACAGCAGCAATAATTATAATAGCTCTAATGATAATGATGACGCGACTAGGAACGCGCTATTGACTTTTTGCACACGTTTGCATTCGCCACTGCAACCACACAGTTCAACCACTCCACCATCGGGACCCCGACGCTTTTCGGAGGCCACAAGGTCCTCCTTGTGTGAACGCCCAAAAGCGAGTCGGGGCCCCCACGCCCCGCGCCGCCGCTCCCTCAGCCCGCCAGCGCGCCCCGGCAGCGCAGACGGCGCTTGTACCCGTATCAGACGCAGCCACCTGGTGGCCGTAACTAACTAAAGGAGTGGTTCAATCCTGCAGAGGCACTGAACATAGAGACACCTGCAAACAATTCCAAAACCTCTAAAAAAGGGGTTAAAAAAGTATTTCGAAACAGAAAAGCGCGCATTTTACAAAACAATCTATAAAAGGAACCTACAAATAAATAGTACCGTACCCGGGCCGTAATAACTCTGCAAATAATTTGAACAACATTAGGAACTTCACGGCAGACAGCCGTACCTCTCAATATAAATCTAGTCTACAAGGCAAACAATCACACGTCCATGCTAAAACGTCTCACTTAAAACCGACGCTATTTGAATATATAATAATACCCATTGAAATATGAAATATAAGTAACATTCCGTTTCCATAAACCACATTACTTGTACAATAAGAACTGCAGTATTGTATACAATGCAAGTGCTACTCCATCTAGTACGCCGGCTTGCGAGTGAGACCAACACTCGCATCGTCAGGAACAACAGTTAATTCTAATGGTAATTCCCTTTTGATTGACTGTGGTAAAGATTCCCGTACAACTAAACCTTTAGGTTCCCACATTGTAAGTTGACTCGCCCCACAAACATTTTGATAGATCACTCATAGTGGGTGGCACCTCAAAGATGGTACAGAGATGACGTATTTAATAACATATTGCGAAATCCATGAAATTCAACTGGCGATAACAATGCTTTGCCACGTAAAGTTCACTTTTTGTTTAAACCCTGAGTACACTTTGTGAAATTTTATTTAAATCAAATAATTTATATTAATTACAGATACGCCATCTTACACAATATACACACATTTTCATTTTGTGCCCAACAAATCAACGAATTTCTTGAGCATGAACGGTACGTTTGTAACTGGTGGGCCTCTGTCGCAGCGGGGCGAAGAGAACCCATAGGAACTTTGTAAACATCACAATTCACGGATAGACCCGCGTAAAAACAATACATTAGTTCAAATCGCCTCCGAGAGGCAAACAATATCTAATATAGTGAATCTGGCATCGTTCACGCACAAACAGCAACAGTGAACAGGAAAAACCACTAGATAACTTAAGCTAAAAAAATAAGAGTTGGTACACGTGAATACAATTACGCTTAGGAACATAACCTTTGGCTGCTCTATCCTGAGAGACGAGCACAGTCAATAAAGGCAAATAGGAACGTTCAGTTTCAAGGCGGCGCATTCGTATCAAAACGAGGATGCACCCCTCTTAGTCTCGTATAGCTCGAGATCACACCTACACCAACTAAAGTTTCCAGTCTCGTACTGACTAGGTGGCTTTGACTAGAACATGCAACAAAAATATCCATAGAGACGAAAATATACAAAACTACAGCCAATCAACAATTAAACTAGCCCATGGCCGGGCCAGGGCCGGGCCAGGGCCTACGCAGGGGTGAGTGTGAAGGAGGCGGTTAGGGGCCGGGACAGTCTCTCCTTGACGGGAAGGAACACCAGCGACGGCACGAACTTCTTGTCCACGGCGGGCGTGTGCACCTCGTCCCCCCTCGGCTCCTCGATGATGAAGGGCTGCATGATGAAGGGGTCGGCGGCGGCGTCCTGCGTCTTGGGCACGGCGTAGGAGGCGGGGATGTCGTTCAGCTTGGCCGCGTCCTCCAGCCTCTTCTTGACGTCCGAGGTGACGGTGTCCTTGAGCAGTGATTGCAGGGAGCTCAAGTCCTTCCTGGCGTCGGACCCTTGGGCCGGGTAGCCGCAGTTGGCGCAGCCCTGCGGCGTGGCGGCGTCGCTGCCGCACTTGGGGCACTTCCTGAAGCGCTCCACCACGTCGAGGTCGTTGTCGTCCTGCCTGTCCTGCCGGTCCTGCCGCTCGGGCGTGGCGCGCTGTGGCGGCTTTTCCCGCTTGGGCTGGTGGAACATGGCGGCGCGCGGGTCCAGCCCCGCGAACATGGCCGCGCCCGGGCTGGGCAGCCCCGCGAACTGGTGCGACAGGATGTGGCGCTGGAACTGGTCCGGCTTGGTGCACGTCTTGAAGCAGATGGGGCACTGCAGGTCGCGCTTCTGGTCCGGCAGGAACGCCATGCCCGTGTGCGTCTTCTCGTGCACGTACAGGAACGCGAGCACGGGCGTGGAGAAGGGGCAGTACGAGCAGCGGTACTCCTTGCTGCCCTGCATCAAGTTGGACATGAAGTGGTTGCCGTTTTTGCTGGAGTGCGGGTTGCCGTCCCGGTGCCTCGCCTTGCCCTCCCTGCTGCGCTCGCCGCGCTCGCCGCGCTCCCGCGGCGCCATGGGCAGCCCCAACTGCACCCCCAGGTCGTTGGGGTGGAGCCCCGGCCCCAGAGGGGGCCCCAGCGAGGGCGGCGGCGGCGGCAGCTTGGGCACGCGGTCGTTGGTCTCGGCGGCGGCCTCGTACTCGGACCGGCCGTGGTCGTTCATCAGGTGCGCCTTGAGCCATTTGACGCTCCGGAAGCGCCGGTTGCAGATGGTGCACACCTCGTTGAAGTGCGTGAAGTAGCGGTGGCTCATCTCGGACAGGTCGGTGGGCTTGAGCGCCTGCGTGCCTCCGTCCAGGAAGTGCGTGCCGAACATGCTGTCGCCGCGCACCTGCGACGGCGGCCCGCTCGACTCGTCCACGATGCCGTGCGTGTTCTGCTTGTGCACGCGCAGGAAGTACTTGCTGCACAGCTCCTTGTTGCAGATGTCGCAGACCACGCCGCCGATTTGCGACCCGTTCTCGATCTCAATGCCGTGCATGCGCTGCATGTGCGTCTTCATGAAGTACTTGTTGCAGAGCTCCTTGTTGCAGATCTCGCAGTAGCTGCTGGTGGGCGTGGAGGTGACGGGCTTGGGCTCGGCGGGGGCCTGCTGCTGCGGCTGCTGCTCCGGCGCGGCGGCCTCCGCGGTGCGGCCGGGCGTCGCGTCCACGTCGCGCTCCGTCTTGACGGCGCCGCTCCAGTGGTGCTCCTGCACGTGCTGCTGCAGCGCCGCCTTGTCGGGGAAGCTCTTCTTGCAGGCGGAGCAGGGCACGGCCGCGGCGGCGCTCTCCCGGGTCGGCTGCTCGTCGCCGGCGACGGGGTGGGCGGGGTTGGCGGCCACCTCGCCCTGCACCGCGTTCAGGCTGTTGAGCTGGAACAACATGGACTGCACCTTCTTCATGTCGTCCATGATGGACTCGATCTGGTCCGCCTTCCGCGGCTTGTCGGCGTCCTCCGCCTGCCGGACGTCCTCCACCTCCTTCTCCTTCTTGACGGGCAGGTGCGCGAAGGCCACGTGCACCTGCAGCACCTGCTCCGAGGGGAACCACTGGCCGCAGTACTTGCACAGCGCGTCGCCGCTGTTGGTGGCCTCCTCCATGATGAGGTTGAGGGGCGCGGCGTGCTGCTGCAGCTGCTGCAGCCAGGACGGCGCGGCGGACCGCGAGGACGACGACGACGAGTCCTTGTCCTCGCCCTCCGGCGGCGCGATGCCGTGCCGCTTCCACTTGTGCGTACGCAGGAAGTACTTGTTGCAGTACTCCTTGCAGCAGATCTCGCAGAAGGCCTCCGGGTTGATGACGCCCAGGCTGCGCATCTTCTCCGGCGTGAAGACCGGCTTCTCCTCCTGCACCTCCTTCCGCAGGATACCCGTCGACTCGTTTGAGTCGCCGGCGCTGCCACCCTCCGCGGCCTCCTCGCCGGGGCCGGGGCCCTGCTTGTCGTCCGGCGACAGCCGGCTCAGCAGCACGTCGGCGTCGTAGTACTCGTCCTCCACCTTGACCACCGGCGTCACCGACACCTCCTCGCCGTTGGCGCCGAACGACTTGACTTTGATTTTCCTCTGGAACAAGTTTTTACCGTGCTTACTGCTAGTCAAGTCCTTGGGGGGCCTCAGGGGCGAGGGGCCGAGTTTGTCGCCGGGCGGGGACAGCGGTCGGGGCGGCAGCAGGCCGTGCTGGTACGCGTCGCTGCCGCCGGGCGAGGCTTGCTGCGGCGCCTGCTGCCCCGGGCTGCTCGAGAAGATGCCGTGCTTGTTGGCCTTGTGCGTCTTGAGGAAGTACTTGTTGCAGAACTCTTTGTTGCACAGCTCGCAGTACGCGTCCGGGTTGAAGATGGTGCACGACCCCGTGCGGTTGTCTGGCGAGCACCGCGACTGGTGGTTGTTGCCGGGCTGCTGGTGGGCCTGCTGGTGGCCCTGCTGGTGGCCCTGCTGGTGGCCCTGCTGGTGGGGCTGCAGCGGCAAGGGCGGCGGCAGGGGCGTCGCCAGGGGCTGGTCGGCCTGGGGGGCCATCATGGGGTACAGGAAGGGCGGGGACATCCCCCAGAAGCTGTTGATGGCCAGGCGGTCCTGCTGCGGCGCCAGGTCCACGTCCATGCCGGGGGACTTGTTGGCGGCGAAGGGCGCGAAGTCGTCGACGGGCGAGGAGGGCTCCGTCTTGGGCAGGCTGCACAGGTTGAGTGGTATCTCCTCGCGGCACGCCTCGCGGGCCTCGGGCTGGCAGTGCACCTGCACCTCCAGGTCGAGGCTGGGCGACACCCTGCCGGCGTCCCCGAGCACGCCCTCCCCGAGCACGGCGTCGCCGAGCACCTCGGCCAGGGCGTCGCCCAGGGCCGCGCCGTCGACGGGCACGTTGGCGCCGGCGGGGGCGTTGATGCGCACCGGCTTGGACTGCTTGCGGCGCTTCTTGGCCGTCGCCTGGTCGCCGTCCAGGTCCAGGCCCGCGCGCTTGAGCGAGCTGGGGGAGTCGCGGTCCGACCCCACCGCGGCCTGGATGTGCAGGTCATCGTGCAAGTCGGCCCGGATGTCGGGCAGCCCGTCCAGGTCGACGAGGGGGGAGTCCAACTCCCTCGAGTCCATGGCCATGCTGGGCGGCGGCCGGGGGCTAGGCGCCGTGCTCCCATTGGACCACGCGACACGGGGCCCGCGCCCTCAGTTGGACCTGCAACACAAAAACACGGCGCCGTCAGGAATCGAACCACGGACTGCCCAACACACTCAAACACACGCCCCTGGAGGCGCTGGGATAGCAGTGTAGGCATCGCAGATTTTCCCCCTACCCCCGCGGCATGCCGGGTCGGCCTCCGCGGAGACTAGGGCGGTTACGTCCGCTGCGTTAGGCAACATGTGCGAGCCCCCTCACGGCCTCACGGGGGAGAGAGAGAGAGAACCTCGGTCAAGCGATTTCGTAATCGCGACACTGCGACAACGCACAAGCGCAGCACAGCACGGCCAACTCTGCAAAGTGTGACTGATTGGCCGGCGAGGCCGGGCGGGACTCTTTTAAGAGTGGCGCATGGCGTGTCACACTCTGGCGTGCCGTTTTTGACACCAAGCAGTCGGCCAGTCGGCCTCGTGACGCACGCACGCCGCTCCCGGCTCTTTATTTGTTGTTGTTTTTTTTTCGTAAATAGAAAAACGCGTTTTCTTTGTCATCTGACCACTATAATAATTTGCCTTACAAACGGACAGCAAACCGAAACACAATGCGCGTTTCTGTCAATATCTCCGCCCAACGTGTTTTTCTTTTTTTTTTTTTTCGGAGTTATTATTTTTGATATTTTTTTTTCGACTGCCTCACACGGTACATTTGGCCGCGCGCGCGCCAGCCCACTCGCCGCGGAGGAGGACTGCTCGAAACGCTTTTCGGGGCGAAGCGAACCGAATGACCGAACTGCCACTGCAGACCGATTTCCGAGAGTGGCTTTCGTCGCTCTGTCTCTCTCGCACCCACACGGGACGCCCCATGAGTGCGAGAGAGACAGAGCGACGAAAACGACTTCGGTCTGCTTCTGCTGTGGTGTGCCTTTGAGCCGACGCCAGCGCCGCGGACCCACGGCGACGTACCGATCCACGGACCACTCGAAAGTATAGAGGGCGCCGGCCAGGACCATAGGTGTGTCACTGTAGTGTGTGTGTGTGTGTGTGTGTGTGTGTGTGTGTGTGTGTGTGTGTGTTGTGTGTGTGTGTGTGTGAGGGGGGTGGGTCCCAGATCGACCAGCCCGGCGTCCGTCAAGCCGGTCAAATTTAAAGGAGGCGGCCGAGATGCGGGGAGGAGGAGGGGGTAGGGGGAATAGTTAGCGACCAGCTGCCGCCATAAACAGGCGACCTACCAGGCCGATTCCGAACAGCGTCTCTCTGTCTCTCTCGCACCCCCGACGGAAGGCCCCGCGAGTGCGAGAGAGAGAGAGAGAGAGAGAGAGAGCGGGGAGGCTAGATGTGCGAACACGGCACTTTTCGGCCAAAAGTAATGAGATGCACGGCCGTGACCGTGACGAGGGGGACGTCGGGGGAGACTGAATGGCCCCGCGCAGAAAGAGTAATTTTGAATGGCGGGATTGAATGCAGCCATTGTGCGAGCGAGATGCAAGCGCGATGCAGCGGGGAGGGGGAGGGGGGGGGGGAGATGTCCGGCAGTGGGTCTCCGTCCGACGGCAAGCACGCGGCACTCGTCATTTGCAAGATTTTTATCGGAAGAAGATTTGTTGCGCGGTGCGTGTGTGTGTGTGCGTGTGTGTGTGTGTGTGTGCGCGTGCGTGTGTGTGTGTGTGTGCGCGCGCGTGCGTGTGTGTGCGTGAGGGCGCCAGTCTGTTGTGTTGGTTCTCGCGGGCGGCGCGGGGCGGCGCGGAGCGGTGAGGGGCGGCCCGGGCCAACTCCCTCTCTTTCTCTCATTCCTCCTTTCTTCCGTTTTTGTACTTTCCTGATATTGATTTTTTTCCCGTTCCGTTCGTTTTCTGCGGCAGCGCAGACCAATCGGCCGCCGGCTTGATACGCGCCCAAGGTATATTGAGGATACATTTTTCATTCATTCCATGCGGCGGGGCTGCGCGGAGCGCGGCTCGGCGGGGTACACCACGGCCAAAATCGCGAAACCGCGGCGGCAGCTGGGGACCCACCCCGCCTAGGTGCGGCCTCGAAGCACGCCCTGGGCACCTACATCCCCACCGAAGACCAGCGAGGCCGACTGCTCAAAACCCGGTACCCTCAACCCTCACCTACAGCTAGAAGCACACCGTTGCAGCTGAAAGTTCAATCTTTCTTGGACATTGCACCTCAAACCTGATGGATCTTTCCCCGTGGACCTTGAACCGAACGACTCTCTGAACTACTATAGCTTGTTGAACCTTGAACCGAATGAATCTTTGAACGGTAAAAACCTCGGAAACCTTAACGAACTACTCGCAGTGGAAAAGTTGAACCTTAAACCTCGGACGCCTTCGTACTCAAACTTCCCCCTGCGACCGTCCGTGCCCCGCCCTGGCGTCTACGCCGCCGCGCCGTGTGGCCTGGGGCTGGGGCGTGCGTATGGGGCCCCGGCTGGCCCAGGCCGGTCCAGGGCCCCGGCGCGCTCCCCCTCAAGGAGAGGGAGACGGTGAACAATCGGGCTGGGGAATGGCGGTGCTGGCAAGCCTGGCAAAAGGGGGGGGGGGCCCGAACGCCGCGAACGCCTCCACCGCGTTGACGGATTTGACACACTCGCGCGCCTTTTTCGATTCCACAACTTTCCAGCACGGCCAACCCACCCGCGGCGCGGCGGTTCAAGTTGCGTGGCGAAAATTATAATGACACACTCGCGGGTCAAAAACAAATAAAATGAAAAAATCAAAGGGAACGCGCGGCCGGCAGGGAGGGCAGAACAAATGCCGTGCGCGGCTTCGCCGTTCGTGTGAATATTAATCAAACCGACCTTCGCGTTTCGTTTCGTTTCGATTCGTTTCTCGCATTGACGGCGCATCACGTAATGGCCGTACCGGCCAACTGCCTCGGATTCGGATCTATCAATAATTTGAAAACCAAACTAACAGCGCCGCGCTGTTTTGTGATCGGCGAGACACCGCCAGGCCTGGCGTGGCGTGGTGGGGCGTGGCGGGGCGTGGCGTGGCGTGGCGTGGCGGGGCGGGGCGTGGCGTGGCGGTGGCGTGGCGTGGCGGGGCGGGTGCGTGGCTGGGCGTGGCGTGCGCGGCAAACGCCCTCGATGAGTGAGGCGGGCCCCAAGGGGGGCGGGGGGCATCCCGCACGCAGCGCTAATAGTGGTGTGGAATCATCCCCCTGGAAAGCGGGCCTTGCACGACGGGGCGTGGCTTGGCGGGGCCGGGCGGGGCGGGGCGGGGCGGGGCACAGACGACCGGTAGAGGCGGACAAAATTCTAGACGCGTTTTGAGCCACAGAGTCTCTAAATGGGACTCGAACCGAACGTGTGACCCCACCAATGGATTGCTCAACGAACGAGGAATCCATTGGTGGGGTCACACGTTCGGTTCGAGTCCCATTTAGCGACTCTAGGGCGTCTAGAGTTTTGGCTGCCGGCGCCGGTCTTCTGGCCCACTGTGCGTGGCGGGGCCGCTAAGACGACGATGACTTTTCAGTGGCGAATCCGAAACGGAACGTGACTTTCGAAAGTCAAAGTCGACGTCGACGACGACGCTCTCGGTGACGCCGGGGAAGGCATCGCCAGGACCTCCCGGCCGCGTGAGTCGAGCCGTGAGCAGCGCCGTGACTTTGGCCTGACTTTCCCAAACGAAAATCACCGACGCTTCAAATAAATCGACTGAATGTCGTGATGATGTCAAAATGAACGACGGGCGAGCGGGGCGCGGCGCTCGTCGCGGGTCGGCCCTCCAGATCGAGCCAACAAAAAAATCACCTGTCACGGAGATTCTCCGTTGCGGTGGCGTGGCGGTGTGGCGAGTCGAGCCCGGCGCCCAAAGCGACCCCCACCCCCTTAAAAAAGGACATACACGCACACAAGCACAGCGCGTCGAACGTCAACCTGCACGCCTCAACGACACCAAGAGCCTCATCACCAAAATCCGAAATTAGAAACCACGACGGTAAATAAAGACAACCCCCTTAATTGAGCAGAGAAAACTCCTCCTCATTGCGGAAGCTCTGAAAAAAAAAACAGGGGAAGACGTCCGCGCCCCTTGAAAACATTAAAAAAAAACAGCACCAGGAAAATAAACGAGAGCAAATATTTATAGCGATCACCTAACTGGCCCCTCTAAAGCGAGCCAACAAGCCAATTGGTTCCGCAAACAGTGTCCGCGTGGCGCGGCGAGGCAAGGCGAAGCGGGCCGGCCTTTTTAAAGCGAGGGGGAGGAGGCGGCGCCTTCAAATGGAATCAAAACGACGGAGCGGCATGGCAGACTAGTTTGTCGCCACGCCGCACAGTGGGCCAGAAGACCGGTGGAGGCGGCCAAAACTCTAGACGCGTTTTGAGCTCCAGAGTCGCCAAATGGGACTCGAACCGAACGTGTGACCCCACCAATGGATTGCTCTCCCAACGACGAATCCATTGGTGGGGCCACACGTTCGGTTCGAGGCCTGTGTAGCGAAGATGAAGCTCAAAACGCGTCTAGAGTTTTGGCCGCCTCCACCGGTCTTCTGGCCCACTGTGCGCCGCCAGGCCGCGCCACGCGGTGCCACGCGGATAATGCGGGACGACACCACACCAGCAACACGTGGCTTTAAAGCAAGTGCCGGACTTTATAAACCCACCGAGCGTGAAGCACATCCATCCCCCGCGGTCTCTCTCTCTCTCTCTCTCTCTCTCTCTCTCTCTCTCTCTCTCTCTCTCTCTCTCTCTCGGAAAGGGACACCGCAGGGGTGGCCGCTGGTTTCCCCTTTCGTTGCTCTTTGTGGCGGAGACCCCCGTCAACCCCAACCCGACCGACCCCACCCCGATCGCATTGTGCCATTGCGCATTTACAAACGCATTCGACGCGCAATTGGCGCCGTAATGGATAGTGTTGAAGACCGGTTGCATTTCGCGCACTTTTTTTTTTCAACAGTGTGTGGGCGTGAAGCCGTGTTTAGACTGCGGTATTTATCACCAGGCTAATCGCGGCCGGTGGGCGCATTCGTCATCGTACTGCAGCAGACTGATTCCGAGAGTCGTTTTCGTCGCTCTGTCTCTCTCGCACCTCTGCGGAACGCCCCATGAGTGCGAGAGAGACAGAGCGACGACTTTCGGAATCGGTCCGCAGCCAGAGATAGTCATCGAGGCTCCAATTATTAATCGGGATAGATTTGTTAAGGCGAGTGGCCGGCGCAGGAGCGAGAGGGAAACGAGGGGGTTGCGCCGGACAGTGCAGGTGACAACAAAACACGAAGGAAACTGAAAAAAAAAACGGAATCACAGAACCGTTAAGTCGTAGCAGTGAGAAATATGGCTAACGCGCGGCTCGCGTGGTCCGAACTTTCAATTACTCTGCGTTACCTGATATCAATTTGTATCTGCCGGCAGAGAAGCCGATAAGGAGGGTAATGTCTCAATCGGACGACAGTTTGACCGCGGAGTACGAGTTGCAAAGTTACGTCATGCTGTCAAAATGAAGAGAAATTTAATTCTTGGGGATCTCTTAATTGATTTTCCTGACAAATTTTCATGTTATGGGTTAAGTCTAAATATTCCGTCCTGGATAGTTAGTTACACTGCGGGCGAAGAAAAAAAAGGCAACCGGAAAAAAACCAACTAAAATGAAGCAGAATCATAGAGAGGAAAACAAACCGGAGAAAACGTACTGTTGTTGTATACGAGCAAGAAAAGTGATATATTTATTTTGATGCAGGAGCAGATTATAAGTTTGGAAGAGCTCTCAACAGCAATAAAATGACGCTGTCTTTATGCTGGCTCTGCTACGCTTTGCCCCGCTATCGGCCGGGCAATGCCGCTGTGTTTGGCACACTGCATGCACTGCAGGCATGCCAACTTGAGCGAGAATGCAGTGCGGCAATATGAATGCGTTTCCGGTGGAGAGGCAAAAATAAATGCCGGCAGTTTACGTTTTAAAATTTTGTTTTTCGGGTGTGTCGTTTTCGTGAAAATCGACCCGCTGAACGGCGAAAGGCTTTATCGACAGTGCACTATTTCGCCGGCAGATGTCGCCCCATAACGAGAATAAAGTAACAGGACAATCGCACGAAATAAACACGACGCCACCGCGCGACTATCAGAGATACAGCAGATAACACACAAGTAATACAGGGTCGAAACATCCATGTACGTGTGGCATGACAACGTGTCTGTTCGTCTGTCTCTCTATCTGTCTCTGTCTCTCTCTCTCTCTCTCTCTGCCTCTGCCTACCCCCCCCCCCCTTCCCACCACCACCATCACCATCCCCTCTCTTCTACCCCCCTCCCCCCACCCTCTTTTGCCGTCGCCGGGGGGACTTCCCCGCATGTCAGGAGCAGCAGGGTCTTCTTTCTAAGCGCGCAGGTAGCACGGCGTGCATCTTTCTGCGGGGCACAGCCGGGGCCCCGGCCGGGGCCTCCCCGCCTGGGAGGTGGGCAATGCGGGAGCACGCATGTGTGGAGCCCCAGCCGGCTGCCTACCTGCCGGGCGCGCTGGGCGGCGGTGGGCTGAAGAAGACCCTGTTGAGACGGGTGCAGCTCTCAGTGCAGGTTCAGGCTCCAGACCTCCTGCACGCATCCTCCGCTTTGCAGCTTTCTAGCAAACAGGGCTTCCAGAGACGCGTCGTGTCCCAACACTGAAAAACCAAACGTGGTCTAGACCGCACCAAATGGTGTGGTCAAATGGGTGCCATTTAGACCGCATCAGTTGGTGTGGTCTGGACCATGTTTGGTGCGTTTGGTGTGGTCAGTCATTGCATAGAAAGACCACACCAAACGTGGTCTAGACCACACCAAACATGACCAAACGTGGTCTAGACCACACCAACTGATGTGGTCAAAATGGCATCCATTTGACCACACCAGTGGTGCGGTCTAGACCACGTTTGGTTTTTCAGTGAAGTCGCGTCTTGACCACCGCCTGCTCCTCACGACCCGTCGAAGAGAATAGGTTAGGTTAGGTTAGAAGTTCAAAGAGCGGACTCAGGTTCGAATCCCACTTCCTGGCTGGCGGCCCGGCGCTGCCGAGCGACGAGCGTGACCTTGGCGACTCTGAACAGGGCGTTTACAAGAAACCGAAGAAACAACATCGCCTTGGAGGGCTTATGGCACGATCCGCGGCGAGGGTGGCGAACGCGGCGGTGGGCAAGACAAACAAGAGAGAGAGAGAGAGAGAGAGAGAGAGAGAGAGAGAGAGAGAGAGAGAGAGAGAGAGAGGGCACGAGAAAACCAACAACGGAGGAATAAAGAGAGAGAAGGGACGGAAAGGTGTTCCGTGCTGGCGGTGCTGGCGCTGCTGGCGTGGCCGTTGCCTGGCGTTGCCGCGGCCGTTGGCGCCCTAACCCGCCCCGGTACATGCTCATTATTGCCGCTGAAATGCCGAAATGCCGGGCTCACGTGACTCGCCGGGGCCTTCGGGGGCATTATAAAAATACATAACGCCCACGGTGCGCTCTCTCTTTCACTTTCTCTCCCACTCCCTGCTTGTCTCTCTCGCTCCCGCCCGCTCTCTGCGGCCTGCGTGCGGCGGTGCGGCCGGGCCTCGGCACCGCGTCCTTCTCCCTTGCCAGATATGATAAGGCTGTCATGTCAGGCGACAATCGGCACCCCCGCGGCCCCACCACGCCCCGCCCCGCCCACGCACGCCGATTACGACGCGTGTTTGCATTGCGTTTGTGGGGGGCGCGGGACTACCGCCGCGACAAACGCGTCGCGCGGACTTACGCGGAAAAAGGGGGCCCACTGTGAGGACTGCACTGCGCGTCGCGGCCGGCCTCGGCACGGCACGGCCACGGCACGGCACGGGAAGGCCACGGCACGGCCACGGCACGCCGAACAAATCAACAGCAACAGCAGTGGGATGACAGTAATGAATGGGATTGAATAATGGGGCGACTCGATGGGTGTTATTGGCGGCTCGGCCCTCACAGCGGCTTGCCTGCGTGTGCGTGTGTGTGCGTGCGTGTGTGTGTGTGTGTGTGTGTGTGTGTGTGTGTGTGTGTGGGTGTGTGTGTGTGTGTGGTGTGTGTGTGTGTTCACGGACGCTGCCCTGCGAATAAGCTCTGTTGGAACGGCCCCATAAACGTGCGCGCCGAGGCGGTGCTGGCCGTGCTGGCCGTGCTGGCCGTGCTGGGCCACGCTGCGCGCGAGGCCGGCCGGGCCGCCGGCGTCCCGGAGCCGGCCCGGTCAGCCCTTGTCTCGCCTGTCACAGTTCGTGTCACATATGGCGACGGCAAGACGCCCCAAGGCCGGCGGCACGGCGCTGGCCTCGCTGTCCCCGCCGGCCCCGCCAGCCCCGCCAGCCCCGCCGGCACATACGGCGCCATATTGGTGCAGCACTCCTTGGGCACGGCCGGCGCGGCCCGGACGGCCCGGACGGCCCGTTAGACGGTTCGGTTCTGAGGAAGGGCGGCTCGATCGAAGGCCTGCTCTGTTCGGGGCTCCGCGAGGGCCCCCGCGGCCCCGCGACCCCCCTTCGCGCCGCGCCCCGCCACGTATGTATCTGGGGGCCGCGGTGCCGCGGTGCCTCCATGCCGCGATGGACAGGCGCCGCGTCTCGAGGCCGCGGACCGCTGCGCCGCGCCGCGCGCCGCCAAGGTGGCCGCCCTGGTGTTTACGCCGCCGGGCCGCGCCGGGAGGTTGGCAGCCCGCGCCGGGCCGGCCGGGAAGGCCAAAGCGTCGCACCACCGCGATGGTCACCACCACCACCACCACCACACACCACCCGGTGGTAAACACTCACCATGGCGTGTCGCTGGGCTGGCTGTCGTCGGCGTCCTGGCTGGTGGTCCACTTGCTACTCTCACATCACTGTTGTCACTCGCTCTCACTGACACACTGCACTGTTACATCACTGCCGCCGGTGCCCCGCCGTCCTCGACATGACGTCGTGGTGGTGCGTGCCGCGCGCGTGCGGCGTGCGAGTCGCGGCCGTGCGCGCCGCGTGTCGAGTCGTTCGTTGGTGGTCGCGGCCCTGGTCGCGGCCGCGCGGTACGTGTCGCTCGCCTTGCGCGCCTTGCTCGCCGTCGTGTCGTCCTCCGCCGCGCCTGGCCGCTCCGTTTGGCTCCGCTGCCACTGCCGCCTCTCCACTCACTGGTGCCGCTGCGCGCTGCGCGCTGGGCCGCTGCCGCTGGCTGGTGCGGTGTAGAGCTCAGCCCGCCGCCACGCCGCGCCACCACCACGCCGACAGAGCGCGCCGACTAGCCGCCCCTGCCGCCCCTGCCGCCCCCCACCCCTCGTCTACCCCCACCACGGCGCCCCGCACCCCTCGCGACCGGCAGGCCGGCAGCCAGACACACTGCTAGTAACACACACATCGACAGAGCGCGGCGCGGCGCGGCCCGCAGAGCGAGAGAGAGGCCCGCGCCGAGGCGGCGTGCTCTCGCTCGCACCTCCCCCTAGACACCAACCCCCAACCCCCCGGGCCCGGGCTCTCTCTTCCTTGTCTCTCTCTCTTACTTCGGAACTGCTTCGAGTCGCGGAGCTGAGCCGGGCCGACCGAGCGGGCGCAGGCCTCGCCGCCTCGCGGAGCGGACATTCCCTCTCGCTCCCACCCGCGGGGCCGCGGCGCCGCGCGCTCGCTCGCACTCACACACACACAGCTAGGTCCCGCCCCCGCATGTGGATTCCACAAAACCTACCGAGTATATCGATCAATAAATTTGACGTTGGTCGTGCAGTTGCAGGCTGGCAGGAGGCGGCCGGCGCGGTCGCCCCGGGGAGGAGGCGGAGGGGAGGGGGAGCGGGAGGGGGCGGCCCGGGCGGGGGAGGGGGCGCACACCATTTTGAGGGGAAAAATGAGAAAAATGAAAAGGGAACGCAAACATCCAATCCCGATGTTGAATGGCTGAGGGAGAAGGACAGAACGGGGTGCGGAGCGGGGGAGAAGGAGCGATAGGCTGCGTGTGTGTGCGTGCGTGCGTGTGTGTGTGTGTGTGTGTGTGTGTGGTGTGTGTGTGTGTAGGGGGCGCGGGGCGGGCGGTGCAAGGGGGTCTTTTAGTTCGTTCGCTGGTCCTCCGCCCGAGGGGACGAGACGAGACGTCGGGGCGCACGCTGGCGCACGCTGGCGGCCGCTGCTCCGAGTCCACGCCAGTCCACGCCAGTCCACGCTAGTCGCATGCATGTCTGCTAGTTATGCCCCCACCCCTCCGGCCCTCGGTCCCCTGGGACCGCCCCTGCCGCGGGTCCACATTCGTCGTCTGTCTTTGCGAGGGCTGATATTGATTCGCACTAATCGAGTTGCATTCGCCGCACCGAATAGTAAGAAAGGCCGGTGGGGGTCGGGGCAGTGCGGGCAATGCTCGGGCCGTCATTCGCACTGACAGGCACATGAGCGCGCGGACGGACGGACGATGACAGACAGACGCCCGATGACGAAAGACGGGCAGACGGCAGACAGACAAGACAGACGCACCAGACAGACACATGACACACGACGACGACAGACAGACAGACAGACAACAGACAGACAGACAGACAGACAGACAGACAGACAGACAGACAGACAGACAGACAGACAGACAGACACACAGACAGACACAGACAGATCCACGGGGCCTCAAAACAAAACCACATCCTCGCGGGTTTTGGACAACTTCGGTAGGGTTTACGCTGAATTTCCTTGTTTTCAGTGACAGAGAGACATACAGATCTTGAGATATTCGGGTCAGAGTCACTGGAGACGCTGAAGTCTCTGAAGTTGCTGGAGTAGCTAGAATCTCTAGAGCCGCTGGAGTCGCTGGAGTCGCTGGAGCCGCTGGAGCCGCTGGAGTGGAGGGTGCAGAGAAACAGAGACGTGGAGGGCAGCAATCATATCGACATCATATCGACACGAAACCTGAAACTGCAGCGCTAAGGGCTGAAGGTTGAAGCGATGGGCTACGTCTCGCTTTTCGGTCCGCCTCGGTTTGGCGGGGGGCGGGGCGGGGCGGGGCGGGGCGGGGGGCGGGGCAGGGCGGGGAAGGGGAAGGGGAAGGGAGGGTGTTGAAAACGCCCTGAGAACGCCACTAGCTAACCACAGCGCCGCGCCCCAGCGTGAGGAAGAAAAGCCAAGCCCGCCCTCTAGTATTTCCTGTTGTATCAGAACTGGGAAAGGGGAATTTTCAAAAGTGATGTGTGAGTGTGAAGGCGTTCTGCAGCCTGGGGGGGGGGAGAGATTTTCTTCACCGAATCTTCCTCGCGGCTCTCCCGATCCTTTGAAAGCCGTGTCACACGCTTCGCAGAGGAAATCCCGGATCACTCGAAGAACGCGCCCACGGCAGCAGCGCACTGCGGCGCAGAGGCACCCGAGATGCTGGGTATGAAAAATTAGTGCGTGCGATACATGGATTTCTCATCTCGTGGGTCAGTGAGGGCTCGAGGTGTACGCCCTCCCTGTAGTGTGTGTGTGTGTGTGTGTGTGTGTGTGTAGAGAGAGAGAGAGAGAGAGAGAGAGAGAGAGAGAGAGAGGAGAGAGAGACTCCCCCACTCCCCGCCCCCTCCGTGCAGAGACCCGCGCGCACAGCCTAAGGAACCCAAGGCGATTGATTCATCGATGAAACAACACAGTTGTGATTGGTATGGGAGAAATTCTAGTCGCGTCTGTATGAGAGGTGCGCGTGCCACGCACGTGCGTGAGTGCGAGAGAGAGAGGGGGGGTGAGTAGTGTGCGTGATTGGGGGGGGGGGGACCGGGGGGACTGAGAGTGAGAGAGAGTGAGAGAGAGAGCGGGCGCGGTGGAGGGGCAGACGAAGGTTTGAGACGGCAGAAAGAATTGTGTCGGCGAGCGGTGGAAAGGAAGGGGTGGTGATAGACAGGGGTGCGAGAGAGAGGCGAAGAGGGGGCCGCGGCTCGGTGGAGAGGCTGGAGCGAGGGAGAGAGAGAGAGAGAAAGAGAGAGAGACGCCGGTGCGCGCGGTGCGCGGCGTGGAGTTTTGGGGCGTATTCCAGCTGGGCTTTCCTTTCCACTCGCCTTGCTGCTCCCAGACAGTGTGTGCATCCCTGCATCAGACTGATTTTCGTCTCCCTCGCTCGCACTTGCACCGGGCGGGCCATGAGTGCGAGACAGACAGAGCGACGAAACCGAAGCGTCTTGTCGCAAGCCGGCTCCGCGTTCAAATACCCGTTTAGTGCGACTCGTTATTTTCCTTGCCGCTTTCATCGCCGAAAGGCGCCTTTTGGGCGTCTTTGTTTCTCGGTTCCACTACACACACCGTCTTGTTGCTGTTTTTTTCTGTTGTTGTTTCTGTCGGGGAGGTATGAGGAGGGGAGTGGAGTTGGCGGCCGAGACGCAAAAGTGAAGTTTGTTGATTCGATGGAAGGGCGGGGCGGGGCGGGGCGGGGCGGGCGGGGCGGGGCGGGGCGGGTGGGCCGGACAATTCCATCGACGGCAAGGTGTTCGAGACGTGGTGGCGGTCGGCCGGCGCGGGGCGAGGTCACGGGTTAACGCTCCGCCACGCCGCGCCACGCCGCGCATGCCCGCTGCTGTTTTTATCGGTCATAACGGGGAAAGCGTCGATAATTTCATTATCCGTGGGAATGCCTTTTTCTGGCCGCGCCGCCGCCGCCATCTTGGCCGGCCGAGTGTTTGTTTTGTGACTCGGTGGCGTGTTCCGAATTGCCCACACCCTAAACCTATTTCAGTTTTATTTTTGCTTTTTTTGCTGATTTTCTAGTGAGGTTGTTTACTACAAAAAGTCGACGCAGCTAAATTTTCAAAAAAAAACAACATCTGGACAAAAAAAGTTTTTCTAAACCAACGGCATTTTTTTTCAAAAAGACACCTTGTCATTTATTTTTTCGAACTGAATAATTCAGCCTGGTAGCCCCCCCCCCACCCCCCCCCCTTACTCCCCCTACCCCTCCCCCCCCCCCCCCCCCCCCCCCCCCAATCGAAAGGGAAGACGGAGCTGGGTCGAAACGCGGAGTATCGACAGTGACTTCGGCAGTCTGTTCCGCTATCGCATGGCAGAAGACTGCTTCGTACGGCACTTTACGGCGTCCTCGCGTTTTTCACCGCCTTGTTTATGAGGTTGCAGGAAACAATATGACGGGGGAGGGGGGGGGGCCTCACCGCCGCAAAATTTCCGGTTCAAGCTGGACGGAATGATGCCATTTTGAGAGGCTCGTGTTGTCTCAACGTGTTTTTGTTTTCCTTATCATTTTTTTTTCTGTCCGTCAACAACACGCTTATCAAAATGCATGTGTGACCTTCCCTCGTCTGGACAATGTGGTTCGATACGAATAAATTAACGATGCTTTTGCCGCGGCAGGTCGTCCTGGACACGGCGCGCCTCGACGCGCGACGGAGGGGCTTGACCGACCCGCGGCCGGAAACGGGAGGGGGGTGGAAAAATTAGGGGGGCGATCGTATCTGCGCGCTTATGGACGCCTCTGCTTCTTTTGGGCAGTTTTTATTTCCCTCATAAAGCACGGGTGGGCCGAAGCCGGCCGAAGCTAATTCAATTAGGCTGCATGGGCAAGCAGGGCGAGCAGGGCAAGCAGACTGACGAGTCTCTCTATCACGAGCCGGGCCCGCGCCTGACCTGTCGCTTGACCGGACGAAGGCGAAGGGTGAAATAAGCAGGCGAATGCCAGTGAACCGAGCGTCGCTTTGGTGAAGAGTAGGCAGGGTTCGAATCCCGGAGAAACTAATTTTTTTTTTCGTTGATGAACTTCATTTCCAGATCTTAAGTTTTTGAACGATTTTGTGAAAGTTGACGTTTTGGAACGTGTTTATGAAAAGTCATCATTTTTACGATATTGGATCCTGACCGTTTTTAGAGTGCCCTTGCTGTGTAAATTTCTTTCAATTAATTTTTTTAAAGTGTCGTATACGCGTTGCTCACCCTAAAAAGCAGTGGCGTCTGGCGTGCTCATGAGGTACAAAATTTTGGCCCACGAAATCCCCAAA